GATCCTTAGGTCAATAGCAACTCTAATACCCATGATACATGCTTCATACTCCGCAATGTTGTTGGTACAGTTGAAACATAATCGGGCAATGAAAGGAGTTTGACAGCCCTCGGGAGATATGATCACGGCGCCAATACCATTACCCAGTGCGTTTGAGACTCCATCAAAATACATAGACAATCGGGATCCTTCCTCATGTCCTTCATCCGGTCCAGGTTCTTCACAATCAGTTACCAACATGATATTCTCATTCGGGAACTCATAATTCATGGACTGGTAGTCGTCCACAGCCTGATGCGCCAAATGATCAGCTAACACACTTCCCTTAATTGCCTTTTGGGTTGTGTATTGGATGTCGTACTCGGTTAAGATCATTTGCCATCTTGCTATCCTTTCGGAGAGAGCGGGCTTCTCGAAAATGTACTTGATCAGATCCATCTTAGATATCAACAAAGTAGTGTGGGTCAACATATACTGTCTCAGTCAGTGAGCAGCCCATACCAAAGTGCGCTAAGTTTTCTCGAGCAGTGAGTATCGTGTTTCACAGTCGGTAAACTTTTTTCTAAGGTAGTATATTGCGTGCTCTTTTCGACCAGACTCTTCATGCTTCCCCACCACACACCCTATTGAATTATCTAGCACTGTTAAGTACATTATCAAAGGTCTTCCTTCAGTCGGAGGCATCAGAATAGAAGGCTCTTGGAGATATTGTTTGATTATGTCAAAGGCAACCTGGAATTCGTCATTCCACTTTACCACTTGATCTTTCTCTAGAAGCTTGAAGATTGGCTCACAAGTAGCAGTCATATGTGAAATGAATCGGGCAATGTAATTTAGGCGTCCCAAGAAACCTCTATCTTCCTTCTCAGTATAGGGAGCCGGCATCTCTTGTATGGCCTTCACCTTTGCATGGTCTACTTGAATACCTTTGTCATTGACGATGAATCCCAGAAGCTTACCAGACCTTACCCCAAAGGTGCACTTGTTCGGATTTAACCTCAACTTGTACGTCTTCAACCTATCAAATAGCTTTTGTAGATGATCAAGATGTTCTTCCTCAGTTTGAGACTTGGCTATCATGTCGTCAACGTAAACCTCTATCTCATGGTGAATCATGTCATGGAACAGAGCTACCATAGCTCACTGATAAGTTGCCCCTGCATTCTTCAACCCAAACGGCATCACCTTGTCGCAGAAAGTGCCCCACTGTGTAACAAAGGTTGTCTTCTCCATGTCTTCAGGTGCCATCTTGATCTGATTGTAGCCAGAGAAACCGTCCATGAAGGAAAAGACTTTGTGTTGTATGGTGTTGTCAACCAGAACCTCGATGTGGGGAAGCGGGAAGTCATCCTTGGGGCTTTCCCTGTTCAGGTCTCTGTAATCCACACACATTCGTACTTTACCATCTTTCTTAGGTACTGGAACCACGTTAGTAACCCACTGCGGATAGGAGGTGACAACTAAGAACCCTGCATTGAACTGCTTCAGAACCTCTGCTTTAATCTTCTCTGACATCTCAGGGCACATACGACATACCTTTTGCTTTACCGAAGGGCAGTCTTCTTTAGTCGGCAAACGATGAACCACTATATCTGTGTCTAGTCCCGGCATGTCTTCATATGACCAGGCGAAGATTTCGACATACTCGTGCAATATCTGTACCAACCGTTGTTTGACATTAAGCTCCAGATTTGCACCTATCTTAAACTCTTTTTTGTCTTCCTTTGTACCCAAGTTCATTGTCTCAACTGGCTCTTCATGAGGCTGTATGGCCCTTTCTTCATGCTGTAATAGTCTAGCAAGTTCTCCGGGTACCTCACAATCTTCTTCACCTTCGTCCTTAGCTTGGTTGATCGTATTTTCAAAGTCATAATGAGCAGTAGCAGAATTGTTATCAATGGGATCCAGAGTGGATATGGATCTGCATTTGGATACGTGAGCGTGTGTAAGAGCATAGCTGTATAGACATAATAAAAGAAAAGAAAGACAAAGAGCGCAAAATTTGTATGCAAATGTCCAATGCTTTATTAATGTCATATGAAAATGAAACATGATAACCCTCACAAATAGAACCATTGTGCCCCGGGTAAGACACGTGGCTATAGAGTTTATATTGCTTTTAAATTACATATCCAAAAAAATCAAAAAGAAAATTACTCCTGAACAAAATTAATCAGTACAAAGTCCTTGGCAGTCCAGTTACTGAGTCCACCGTTGGTAGTCGGGAAGATCCAACTGTCAATGTCAGAATCACCATCACTGTATTCAAGTGCATTGACCCTAGAATTGCTGATGCGTAGGGGAGGTCCTCCAGCCCGAGCACGACGAACAACCCTTTGAGCACCTGTAGTAAAGCCCAAACCATATTTGTCAGACTTGTAATGAATTATCGGGAGCTGACCCCAAATGGTAGACTCACCTTCTTCAAGCATTTCCCGTGCATCCTTGAGAGAAGCCATCTTCGAGGGAGATTTGGTGACCTTCGGAGGACTGTCGGTAGTTTCTGTTGTAGCCGTAATCTGAGGTACCTCTTCAAAGTTCTGGAAAGGAGTTGTAATACCCCAAATTTGTCCTACCCCTTTTACTTTTATCTGGCTTATGCGTTTCACACTTTTCGCATCTACATAACCTTCCATTAGGTCATTTAAAAACATCATGCATCATTAATCAATCAAATGGGCATAGGATCGGGGATTTTGAAGCTAGGGTTTTTACTTTGGAGCTTTCATCTTCATTCGAACTTGTTTCTACGGGTTCCTCCATCAATCATTGGTCAAAAGCTAGGGTTGCTTGTTTAAGCATTGTCATGAAATTCTTCTTTCATCAAGCTACAAGGATCCCATTTTAATCAAGAGATTCAAGAGTATCTCGGGAAGACTGGGATTTCTCATACATGGTTTGAGCTTGTTAGCATTCATCAGTGTAAAGATCACGGATAGGGTTATCTCAAGGGTTTTCCTCTATGATTCAAATCTCATTCATCTTTGTCCAAGGATTCTCCAAAGAGTATTATTTTATATCATCAAGTAAAAAAAAGAATTTCTTTTACATCAAACATTTGAAGATAGAGTTTATGAGGTCTTGATTCATGCTACAAAAGATGAAGTGGTGATCGAGACACTAACACGTTGCTCGAGATACAAGTTAACGTGGATGGAAGAGTTGAATTGGGGGTTTTCATGACGATTCAAACTCGGTTAAAGATCATATTGGTGTTAAAATGAAAGAGGCATTTACTTGGAAATCAAGTCACAATCAAGTTCAAAGTTCATTTAATCACTTGAGGTTTTTTTTAAAAAAAGGCTTGGTGATCCATTCATAAGTGACAAAGGAAGTTTGGTTATTCAAGACCTTGATGGGTCAATGTCCATGACTCATCCAGAAGCGAATACAAAATTAAAGACGAGAGAGAAATCTACTTGAAGTATTTGGATTTTTTCATTGGAATTTAAAGGTTCTCTTTACATCACAAAGTCATCATCATTTTGTCAATATAATTACAAAAGCAAAGAAAGAAATTAACGAAAGGGAAATCCACTTTGAATATTTGAAAGTTGCCATTATATTACCAAGTATAAGATCATTTCATGGAACCAAAAACATTGCACCAAGTTAGAAAGGGAAATTTCAAGTGTCAATAAAAGCCATTACATCAAATTCTGTCACAACTCCATCACCTTACAAGTCCATACTCTTACAAAAAGAAATCCCAAATGAAAACTACATAGAAACATTCATAAGCCTAATGATTATCCCCCTATATTTATTTTCTCCATCATTCTTCATGTTTTTGAACCATGTCCTTATCAACCTCTTTGCTCCATTTGCTTTAAGTTACTTTCATGGATCGATGCCTCCTCATGCTTCCGACGACCATGCCTACAACAAGTTAAATGTCCGATCGAGCAACTGAAGTTTGTACTGCATTCAACATAAAAAAATCATTAATCAAATTCAAAGCTATCTAATACTAAGGCATTTAAATATGCAGGGTCAAATATGCCAGTCAATGCAGATCCAGGTTCAAACATGACAGAAATTCGTATGGATCGGCCCTAACATAAACTAGCAGATTTGATAACTTTCATAAATTAACTTCAAATCATTTTAGCCATACTAACTATAACTGAATCCAATTTACTAACTTTTTTTCAATTCTAACATATTTTCAAACTGATATTTAATAAGCATTAACAGCAACTAACAAGTTCTGATTAACATTCCAAATTTTCTAACAATTACCAAAGGGTTAATATTTCTGACTCTCAAAACTGACTTTGCAATAGTCACTTAACATTCGCATAACCAAGCTGACATACTGAGTTGGATTTTCTCTTTTAATTGAAGCTAATACTTAACTATTTTTCCTCTCCATAACAACTAACAGGAAAAGAAACAGAATACTAACAGAATTTAACAAAGTGATAACTAACTACCAATTCAGTGAGTTAACACAAGCGATTCACTGAGTTTATCCCAACAAACTCCAAACCTCTTCATAACTGACTTTTTCTAACCCTTAATAAAATTCCCTTAACTGTCAAGAACAGGATTCTTCCTCAAGCTTTTCTTAACCATTTCTCTAACAGATATTCTAAAAGTTTCTAACCTTATAAACCTCTAACCAACTGTCATAACCTGCAACTGAATAACAACCTCCTAACCAATTCCATAACTACCTCTCTAAATGTCCTAACCGATTTTATCAGCTCAGAGATAACCACTTATAATTGATCAGAACTCAAGTAACTGATCTCTAACAAAAACAACTCCAACTGATATAAGAAAAGAAGATTCACACACTCGAGGGAGATTGATTCAGATACAAATCCTCCAAAAATTCACAAATTCAGAAAGAGGAGAATACAATTATTCATTTAGAACAAAAACTCAATTACAGAGAACACGAAAAAACCTCATAGAAAAATATAGGGAAATGACCTTGACTTGGAGTGAATCTCCTCTCCATCTTGATCTTCAAATTCCCTCTCTCTAAACTCCATCTTCACCTTCACTCTCCATGGTTCAACCTTCAGCCATCACCAAATTCTCGAAACTTCACCTCTCTCCGATTCTCAACCGAATTCTTTGCACATCATACAAACTTCATTTTCTCAACTTGCGATAACCTTCATCATTGTCATTATTTTCGCTCTTCACCTTTCAATAACAACACGCGCAATCTGCTTCTCTCTTATTCGCATCGTCATCATCTTCACAACCGCAACGTCTTTGTCTTCAAGCTTCATCAACGATTTGAAGCTCTTCTCCAATGCAAACACACACAATCACAAAACCAAAGAACAATGAAGACTGTGAGGAAGGGATCAATACGAAGCAAACAAGAAATAAGAAGATTAAGAGTGTGCACAAGAGAATACCTGCCTTTCGGTTTTCAGCACCTTCACCATAAGTGAAACTGAAGCCTACAATGGAAGCAGTCATGCGAAGACACCGAGACGGAGATCAGAGAACGGTGATTGAATGGAGGGAGACGATCAGAAACAGAGTTTTTCACGGTGAAGGCGCGAGCAAAATGAGGCTGAGCCATTGAGGCAACGCGGGGTTAACAGAATCCGGAGTCGGAGACAAGGGAAGACGTCACGGCTAAGCGAACCAAGGCAAACTGAAGGCGCGAGGGTGATAATCAGAAGCCAGCATCGAGGAAAAACGAAGACGGAAATGGAGGCCGTAAATCCTTGAACAAAAGTCAGAGCCGGCGCCGGAGGGAGTTGAGTGGATGGATGTCGTTTGGGAAAGAGAAGAAAGAGCGGAATTTTGTTCATCAGAAATTGAGATTTGTTAATCCTGACCTAAACCTGTTTATCCCCTTCCCTATTATTTGGTTAAATTCCTTTTCCTATTATGATAATAATAAATTAAATGATGAAAATATTTGAATAGGTCATTGGATCTCCTTTTGGATGGGCATGGACCGAAACTGCTGAGCCCATAGCAAATTTTTTGAAATAGTCTTGAAGCTTGATACAAAAATGCTTAATGGACCTTATTCTGGCTGGGCCTAGTGCCATTACTTCTGCCAAACACCCTAAGCCCATTGTACCATTTTTTGGATAATTGAAGTTTGTGAACAAAAAATTCCTCATTAGGTTGAGTGTAATTTTGGGCTTAGTGGCATTCTGTCTGTTGCTTGCAACATGCACCCTAATCCAGGCTTTGCACCTCCTGTTGCATTCATGTTCTATTTTCTTGTTAATTCATTTATTTCAATTTTTATTTTAGCAATTGTTTGTGTGATTTATTCATGATTTTGATTAATTTTCCACATGATAAAATTATGCAAAATAGTAGCATATTTTTTAGAATTCTTTAGGACTTTTCTTTAGAATTTTATTAGAACTTTCTATTATTTTATGTTTAACAATCATTTTCATTATCATTTTAGTCAAGATTTCGTGATAGTAATGATGCAACTTTTGTGATGGGGAATGCTTGGAGTTTAATTATTTGATCACTCGCGCGAAGCAGTTTCTGTAGAGTTTTCTTATCGCTTGCGTGACTTTAAAGAGGCAACGGACCTCCTCCATTCGGTATCATTGAGACTTCATTTTATTCCTCATTCTCGTACTTTACTGCTTTTCTAGAAATCAGGAGAAACAGGGCTTTACTACAAGCTATGCATTTGACTTTTCTTTCTCCTTTTGCATATGCATTTAAAACAAAAACTTCTTTTTCTTTCAAAATTCAAAACACTTTAAACCTACTGATGAGAATCACGCCTTTGCTTAGTATGGGAAATGATAAGCGGATCTCTTCTTGATCTTATTGTTCTTCATCTCAAGCCTAGGTGTGGGTCAAGTCTCAAAAACTCCTTTCATGGATAAGTAGAAAAGTGGCTAATATCTCTCTCTTGAGGTTAACTAGTCATTATCTACAACAAAAATACAAACCAATTCAAATCTTTTGTGCGCTCAATCACCTTTCTCTAAAACCATTTTCAGGTAAGGACATGATTAATTTACTTCTGTGACAACGCATAAGTCTCTAAAGGTCGAGCTACGGCAGAAGGCCGAATTAACTTCTTCCATAAAAAACACAAACCAACAAAAACATATGAGCCGAACTATGGTAGCTCTGATTCCTCAAAACGGATACGTAGGCATTGGGGTAGGGCCCAAGCGAGCACAATTTTATTTTCCCTACATTCTTTTCTCGTTTCTTTTACATTCATCCTCCCTTTAGCAGTAGTATAATAGATAGTAAATATAGATTAAACACACCCATAAGATAGATAACAAGAGTGGATACCGTAGGGTACTACGGGCGTGTGGGGTGCTAATACCTTCCCCTCGCCTAACAGACTCCCTTACCCAATCTCTCGGTCGCAAGACCTTGACTTCTCCCTTCTCAGGTTTTCTCGATGTTTACCTTTCCCTACATGTGGGATAAAATACGTTCGATGGTGACTTCATTGTTTGATGATTTTCAGCCAGTTGTTTCAGCTGGCGACTTCACTGGGGAATGGTCGACCAAATGTTGGTCCATCCCGGAGTCGCTCCTAGCTCTTGCTTTCTTTTCTTTGGGTGTTTATTTTTATGCTTTCAGTTTATTCACTCATTTTGTATATACTTGAGCATATGTATGCATTGCATTTTACTGTCTTCCATATACTACTGTTGTACTGGATCTGCTTCTTATTGGGTGGGTGTTATTATTGAGGTAAAAGGCCCAGTACCCAGGCCAGAGTGCACTAGGACACTAGGAATAGAGTGGGGGCATGACGGCTATAGGACATGGTCCGACTAGTGAAGTCATGTCATATACCATGCTCGGATGAGGTTCAATTGGAGGTACTTTCATCATGCACGTCTGTGTTGCGATGATTATACTTTCAAGCGAACCCGTGATTTTCGAGTTACCATTGTCTTACCCTAACCTAGTCTTCACCCGTGAGTGGGGAGGGAATCATTATTACAGGTACAAATGGTGACTATGCTCAGACAGTGACTATTGGTTCTAATGGCTATGTTCTGGATTTCTGTTATGACTTTATGCAGATGCTATATTCTGTTGGTGACTTATTCAGATGCTATATTCTGTTGGTAACCGTTTGGTTCTCGGATTTATTTTCTGAGTTCCTGACTTGCTTACTTAGAGATTTATTCGAGCCTTCGATCTTGGTATTCCCAGCATATTCAGAAAGTGCTCAATAGTATCCGATCTTCCAGAAGCCTTGATCCCTTACAACAGGAGATCTACATGGTACTTGGTTCTTATATGTGCGAAAACTACGTCGGACCTTTGACTTGATAATACTCATATGGTTCAGAACAGTGCAACAATCATATTCAGGAATGATGGAACCTCGATCCCATTTGATCCCATGCCTTTACATACATAACATGGTTAACAATATGCTTAACATACATGTTTTGTCATTTCGAGGGAATCACATTTGCAAGTCATGTGCTAAACTCTTCCATCCCTTACTTGCGCAAAATCAAAATCAAAGCACATAAATTCCTTGGAAATGGCAGAACATGACATGACATTCATTCATGCACCCCATGCATATTCATGCATTTATAGAAGGTACCCGAAGATTGGGGATTCTTATTCAGACCTGGGGCTTTCTTCAGAGGTTCAACTTTATTCTTATTGTCACCAGAAATCAGTTTTGGGATAAATCCGAGCGATATTCATACAAGCTTTGGCCCGTAGTCAGAAATTTCTGCAAACAGAAAGATAATTGATTGAAGACTCAGATGAGCCAGGTCAAGCCAGGTCATGAAAGCTCTGATGATGATGTCAATAATCTTGCACTTATTGTTGCACCAGATGGTTCCCATTTACTGTAGGATCTTACATTAGTGCTCCATCCTTCTTGACCAATGTCAGATATGGTTGCTACACCAGGGCATCAGACTATTCAATCAGGGGCACTCTCCACAGCTTTGCGTTCTCTAATTTATTCAACAACAATCAGTCTTTATTCCCCTAGTGAAATCATGGAAGAAGGCTTTTAAGCACATACAGAAGAAGCCTGATGAGCATATTGATGCGAGCCCGATGCATTACAGCCTGTTCGACAAAGCTCTGATCTTTGGGGTCTTCCTCCCACAAATATCTCTTCTGATTGCGATAAACATGCTAGATGTATCCCCTATTCTGAGACACTCGATTTTGATATCGAATACTGTATTGAAGTAGAAGGCCCAACACCTGTCTGGCGTCTCTTCCAAAAGTCCAATTCCTATTGGCCAACTGTCAGACTCTTTCTCACCAGGTGGATGTCTGTTGTTTTGATAGAAGACGAACTATATTATTTCTTTGAGACACGATATGATTAGTGATGCAGTTTATACCGATTCGTTGGGTAAGTCATTCATTTGTTCTCCTAAAATAATCTTCTATGCATATTATACTGGGGCACCTGGCCAATCGATTGGAGATGGTATGTCATCTAGAGACAATGTCCAGGACTGGATCAATTTAGAGAATGTTGTGTTCATATAAGATTAGAGGGGAATTCTCTCACCCACTCAAGCATCAAGGCTGTAGAAAATTATCAGAATCAAGAAGTCCATACGGAGTCAAGTCTCCTCAACGATGGCAACCATTAGTTTCTTTACTGCATTTTCATTTACATTCTTGCTTGTTTGTTTAAACATTGCTTGTATATAGAAACTTGTCTATTTTCGAATGAAAATCTTAAATGCAATAGGTATGCTTGTCTTGAAGTGTTCTTTTGTTTTTATTCATCCATTCATTATCACTCTTTAAATGTTTTACTTGCATATTGATGCCGATTTTCCAAATCTTATGCTTAGGTAAAGATTTGAAGGAGGATGACGACAATCTAAAACGCAAAAATCTCTGGTTGGTACGCTTTTGAGTAAGACTCTGCTGACGATGTACAGGCCTTGTTTCAATTCCTAAACACCAGAGATATAAGGGAGATAGACCCTCATTAATCCCTTTGAGCATTCGAAGTAGGAGTTTCTTTTCTGTTAAAAAAAACCCATTTTAACCCTGGGGCGGGTAGTGTTCAGTTAATCTGATCAAGTGTTCAGAACTCATCAAGAGTGTGCATCCAAGGATACAACAATGGTTATCCAGCAAAGGTTGAGGAAAGTCAAAACCACAGTGGTTAACCCTCATCTATCAGCAACGTGCATCAACTAACGATACCCTAATGAGTATCCCTCGCACGTCAAAAGGACAACAAATGACGATACAATAATGGCTATCCATCATCTACTAAAGACTCAGGCAACCACGGTCACTTCCAACAAATCAAAACAATGCAAAGATCAACGACTTGTTCAAAATGGAAAATATGAATAAGAAAGAAACAAAAATCCCCGCTAAGTCGAAACTTGAAAACAAGTCGCTTAGGCAAAAGTTGGGGCATCCCGCTGGACTTCCAAATCAATTTGTTCAGGCAAAAATTAGG